TGAACATTCCATCTGTGAACTGATCTAGGGCGGATTTCAGCACCACATGTATTGTATATATTTCACACAAGGCAATCGGGCCAATTTTGCATATCTCCTGGAAGGTAGGAAAAGAGGCTTAAGGGCTCCAGTCATAGTAGATGTCATGGACTCAGAGGATGGTAGGAGGCACCAGGTGGGGAACCCCAAAGAGACAAAGGCTCAGAGCCAGGGGATTTGTAATGGGATGATGACCAGTAGTCAGAGGGAGAAGCCTGGGGGTGGGGGTGGGGAGGTGTCGGAAGATGAAGAGGTTACAGGGTTTAGTAAATAGGGAGAGTCAATGGCAGAGAGCAGTCCAGACTCAGAATCAGAGGCAGAAAAGGAGGAAGGCCAGGATAAAGGTGGGATAACTGCAATACATACATACATACATACATACATACATACATACATACTCTACACATGAGCAGAATGTATCAGCAAGTCCTAGGAAACCCCAAAGTTTGCACAGGGACAAAGAATCTTTGATGGAAAAGGGACCCAAAGAGGAGACCCCAGAAAAGTCCAATGAGGACTGAGCATGCTCAGTAGGCATGGAATGCCAACTGACCTGGAGGTGGGGTGGAAAAGTGGAAAGTAGACTGAATTGAATGTAACAATCTGGAAAGGGCTGGCACACCAGACTGGAGTATTCCAGTATTTTATTTATTTTTTGCAGGTCAGATCTGCTCATTCCTGTGTAGAAACAAACAAGTCAGCTCTGCATTTCAGACCATCATTGCAGTGAGGTCAAAATGTGTCCTCTACCCTCCAACTGTGTCATTCCAAATTTTGGAAGATGAGGCTATCCATGGCTACCAGCCATGACGCCTATGCTCTGCCTTAATATCTGGAGGCAGCAAAGTTTCTGAATGAATGAATGGATTTATTACGGCCACAGACCAGAGATATGGAAAGCTTCTGAATCCCAACTGCTGTGCTTGGGTCCTGCTTGTTAATTTCCCATAGGAACATCTAGTTGCCCCAAAAGTGAGAGCAGGATGCTGGACTACACTGGCACCAACTCCAGGGGGCCCTGGGGACCCGGACACCCACAATTTTTTTGCTGTGGGTGCCCGGTCTCCACCCCTGCCACTGCCACATGCTGCCTTACCCCTGGCACAACAGAGATCCCACAGAGGCACAGGCCCCGGTCCAGTCACCACTGTGGTGCTGGAGTGCCAGAGGTAAGGCACACTGCATGGCAAGACATGGCTTGATGTCATGATGTCACATCACGCCAATGTCATGACGCATGGTGTTGGACACCCGTGGTGTGGGGCCCAAGTCAGCATGCCTGTGGGACTAGATGGGCCATTGGCCTGATCCAGCAGGGCTGTTCTGATGTTCTTATGAATAGGATCCTACATCTCATCCCCCAGGGATTTGCATCTTACTACCGAGGGATTCATAAGGGATGCAGGTGGCGCTGTGGGCTAAATCACAGACCCTAGCACTTGCCAATCAGAAGGTCGGTGGTTCGAATCCCCACGACGGGGTGAGCTCCCGTTGCTCAGTCCCTGCTCCTGCCAACCTAGCAGTTCGAAAGCATGTCAAAGTGCAAGTAGATAAATAGGTAGCGCTCCTGCGGGAAGGTAAATGCCGTTTCCATGCGCTGCTCTGGTTCGCCATGCTGGCCACATGACCCAGAAGCTGTATGCCGGCTCCCTCAGCCAATAAAGCGAGATGAGCGCCACAACCCCAGAGTTGGCCACGACTGGACCTAATGGTCCGGGGTCCTTTTACCTTTACAGAGTGATTCATGTAGGGTGCACATCCTGTATCCACAGGCAAATCTCACCCATCCCAGTGTCAGTAAATGATGCTGATGTTTAACTACACTAAAGGACCACACCAAAAAAAAAAGTTGCTTTTTTCCCCTGATGAACTCTTCAACTTGGTTTTTTTTAAAAAGGGTCAATCCTCGTATCTCCTTTGACTTTTTATCCTCAGAAGATTGATTCTTCTCCTTGCCCAAGATAGCAGGTGCTTTATCCAAATAGCCTCTTTCAATTTATAGTCCAGTGCCTGGGAAAAGTTAATGTTTATAGCAGTTCCATGTGCTTTTTATTTTATTGCTCCTATAAATTATCCGCCTTCTTCGTGCTAGGGCAGCCGAACTCCTTGCCTCCTCTCTACCCCCATTCACACATTAAGCTGCAATCCTGCTTACGTTTTCCTTGGAATAAGCCCCTTTCAGAACTAGAACTTGTGGATGTCCAGTGAAGCTGAATGGATGAAAATTCGGGACAGAGAAAAGAAAGTATTTCCTCTCGCAGTGCCTAGTTGAACTATGGAACTCAGGAAGTTGGGATGCCCACCAACCTGTATGCCTTAAAAAGAGGCTTGGACAAATTCGCTACTAGTCACGATGGTTATGTAAGTTCATTGCCCACAGAGTACCAGTTTCTAGGCTTGAATGCAAATGCAGGGGATCCAGTAGTGCTCCCTGCAGAAATAAAATGTTGCACGTGATGTGATTTCATGGGCCCTCACTTTTTCAGGCATCTCAGGGGGCTGGACACTGCAATTCTATGAGGCAGGCATCTGTAAGTGAGCAAAAGAGCACCAGGCATGAGTTGACTTGTGCAGTGCAGACCAAACCCATAGATTCAGCATCCTTTACTCTGCCACACAGGAGCAATCTCTTCTCTTCCTTTCAGTTACTGTAATTCCCCACTCCCTGTTAATCAGCCTTTCCGACAGCTCATCCATCCTTCCAGTTGGCCAGCTCAGCACCAGCACTCCATGCAAGGCTCTTTCGTGGTGCAAAGCACCCCCACCCCCAATTTTTTCATGTTTTGTGATAACTTTTTTTGTTGATTCCCTGCTTGCTAAGGAGTGTTGCAAACCTGGGCATCAGCCTCTGGCTTGACTGCTGATCAGTGGCTTCAGGATGCATGACAGATGGAACTCCGGGGCAAAATCAAAGAGCAAAGAGGAACAACACAGTTTCTGATGATTTTGTTGAACACCGGCACTACTCTGTTCAGTATTTTTGAAACCGCGAATGAACAAAGTTCCTATTGGCAGGTTGTGGGAAATTATGGGTAGATCTGTTAGGATAAACATAAGATAGAATCATAGGATTGAAAGTCCAACCCTCCCACAATGCAGGAATCACAGGTCCATTCCACTTACCGGTGGGGAGGAGTTACAGTGGACTGCATGGCCACCCTCTCTCCTCCGGGGGTGGGGGACGAAGTCCTGCGTTGCCCCAGGGATCCTGGCCACGTCATTGCCAGCTGGTCAATCCGGTGGCTGGGGGGCATGGCCAGGAACAATTTAAGCAGTGGCACAAGTGGGGCTAGGGCCATGACACGACCCCAGTGGGAACATCTGGGGGAGCTCAAGTTGGTCTGCATCGACGGGGCTCCCCTTTCTGGTGATTTACCCTTACCAGACTTCCTGTGCAGTGGGCAGGAGTCAGATATAGTTGGGTTCATTCAATGGCTAAGCCAAAACCGCTCACAGTCTAATCAATAAAGTTGTGGCCAAAATGTGCCCAATAACATTAACATAATCCACTCATTATTAAACTTTGTACCTTTTTGGTTTCTTATTTTCTGTGTCATTTTTGCCAACTCTATATAATCAAATAATTTAGATTGCCACTCATTTATAGTTGGGATTTTTGATAAATTTATGACATATATTGAAACAGATGCAAAAAATTTAAAAATCACAGTAGGCTTGATGTAACGCCCGCGACGTAAGGAGTTTTAAGAAAACGAAACTGCAGATAGAAAACCCTTTGTAACATATTCCGAAACCGAGTTGAAGGGAAGTCAATTATTGTTGTGCGAGTTAGTTATTTAGTTATCGTAAGTTTAATTTGTTGGTGTTTTATGTTATGCAATGTTTCTTTTTTCTTTGTTTTTTCTTTCTTTCTCTTTTTTTGCTCTGTCTTTTCTGTTGTCTTAATGTTTGGTGTTGTAAATTGAAACTAATAAATTTTTTTAAAAAAAAACATTAACATAATCCCTGTGTCCTGATGTCTTCTTCTTTACGAGGGGGTGGTCATGGGGTCTCGACACGCAACTGAAGAATCCTTGACATTCTAGCCCTTCAACCTCTTTTAAAAAATATCCAATTAGTCTACCACCTTCTGAGGGGGTCTGTTCCACTGTCAAGCAGCTCTTGCTTTCTAATGTTTAGTCGGATCTCCTTCCTTGTCATTTGAATTCATTGGTCCAGGTCCTTCCAACTGGAGCAGCAGAAAACAAGCTTGCTCCATCCTGCATGTGACAGCTCTTTTGATATTTGAAGATAACTATTGTATCACTTCCTGCCAACCTAGCAGTTCGAAAGCACGTCAAAGTGCAAGTAGATAAATAGGTACCACTCCGGCGGGAAGGTAAACAGCATTTCCGTGCGCTGCTCTGGTTCGCCAGAAGCGGCTTAGTCATGCTGGCCACATGACCCAGAAGCTGTAAGCCAGCTCCCTTGGCCAATAAAGTGAGATGAGCGCCGCAACCCCAGAGTTAGCCACGACTGGACCTAACGGTCAGGGGTCCCTTTACCTTATTGTATCACTTCTCAGTCTTTTCTTTTCTGGGCTAAACATACCTAACTCCCTCAGCCTTTCCTCATAATGTTTGGTTTCCAGACCCTTTTATCATCTTGGTCTCCCTCATCCTGCACCCCTTTTGGCTTGTCAAAGGTTCTGTTGTGCTTTGTGAACATTTCGACACGTATGGCATTTATACTTACCTTAATGCAGCTAGTTAGAAATCTAGACACTCAAGGACAGCAGAGGGATTGGGATGAAGAGTGTACCTATTTAATTCTTGTTTCTTCATATGTACTGTGTTCTTGAAAATCAAGTCGAATATTGACAAGCTGGAACATATGCAGTGGGTACAGATAATAAAAGGGTCTGGAAACTTAGCCTAAGGAGGAACGCTTCAGAGAGTTGGGTATGTTTGGCATGAAAAAGGAGACTGAGAGGAGGAGATATGATAGCCATCTTCAAATTAACTGTGGCACAATGAGTCAGTGCACCTGGCTGTTAACCGGAAGGTTGGTGGTTCAAGGCCACTCAGGTATGGCTGTGGGCAAGATTTGGTTGGACTACATAACCCTTGGGGTCTCTTCCAGCTATGATTCTATGAAGACGGTAGGTGGTATCAGAGCCAAGGGCTGCTGGTTGCTCCTAAGCCTTTTTCTCTGGAGTCTGCAATGAAGGGCTTCCTTTCCCTGGCAAACACTTTGGCTTGAATCCTGAGCACATGTACTTAAAGGTCCTGCTGGAGTCAATACATTACAAGCAGACAAGGTCCTTGCAGGTCGACTTGGATGACTTCAGAAGACGATTAGACAGATTCATGGAGGAAGTTAATGCTATCAGTGGTTCTGGAGGCTGTGACTCAGTGGTAGAGGACATCCTTTGCAGATACACCTGTTTATACCAACATTATCTCTCAATCTTGTTTCAGCTCCTGTGTTTCGATGGAATTGTTTCATTGCATATTTTAACTAAAGATCACAGAATCATAGACGGGACCCTGACAATCATCTAGTCCAACTCCCTGCAATGAAGGAATATGCAGCTGTCCCATATGATATTTATAGTCCTAGCGTTTTAATGAGATTGTTTCATTGTGCATTTTCATGGTGGATGCTTGTATTTTAACGCTATTGCGATAACCTGCTTAACAAGCGTCTTCTAACATTGTGATATATAAATTAATGCCATGCTTTGCCTACTAAAGGTACCAAGTTCAATCCCAAGTTCATTTCCCAGGCAGGGCCAGGAGACACCCTGGCCTGAAACCCTGGGGAGCTGCTGCCAGTCAGTGTAGAAAATACTAAACTAGATGGACGAACAGTCTGAGGCTTCTTTCTTCAGAGCAACTGCCTTGGCAGGAGGGAGCATGGCCAGAGGTCTTGGGTTCCAAGCCACCAGTCTCAAAACTGAGATCAGGGCCTGGGTCTTACCCTTCTGCTGGGGGATGTAGTGTAGATGGACTCAAATGGGTCTTGAATCAATCCTTCAGGGGGAAAACTAGTTGGAAACCGAAACCGACGTGAGCTTCCGTGCAAAGCTTTGGTTAACTGTTAATTTTACAGTTCTAAATGACAGGCTTTGGAGAGATTGCATATTTCTTCTCTCTTTCCCCCCCACCCCCACTTTAATTCCGTGCATTCACAACACTAGTTCATTTGTCTGCAACTGTCACTTTTCTGTATCACCCAATATTTCACTTGAGATAAATTCATTTTTATGGCCGATCCATAAATCTCACAAGGAAGGAAAGAGGGGCTGTTGGAGGGAAAAGGAGCTTTATCATTTGTCACCCTTAACAAAGTGTAAATGGGATGTGAAAATTTTGGCTCATGCTCCCTACAGCCCTGGAGCAGCGCTAAGTGGTGGCCGTTGGGGCCGATGGGGAGGGAAGGCAAGGAGGTCAACAGCAGGTGGCGCTATAATTGGTAAGTTCCTTTCCTATCCTGCTTCCTGTTGAATTCTAAAAGGGACGAAGGAAGAGGAGGAAGCTGCTAGGCAGGACCACCCTCTGGGATGGTTGCAAGTAAGAAGGTAGTCAAGTGGGGGCTCACTGCCAGGCTTCAGGGAATCCTATCCCCCTCCCTCATGGCTGGCAGCCAGAAATGGGAAAACAAGATTTCTTACAATGGTATTTTATTCAATATTCACAGAGAGAGATGGATGATGCCACTTCTCAGGTAACGGCGTTACTCTGAGTAAAGTTCCACCGGGGTGAATGAAGGCATCGTGACACCCAGGGCGGGGCACCGCTACATAGGGCGCATGTGCGGTGTCTCTACGTATGACGCATGCACCGTACGTAGCGATGCCCCACATGCACTGTACATAGTGGTTTGCTGCCACTGGCACTTCAGTGCCGTACGGATGATGCCGGGATCCCTCCATTGCCGCTACAGCCACGAACGGAGGATCCTCTACATGCGGCTGTAGTGGCGACGGAGGGATCCCACCACCGTCCGTACGGTGCTCAAGCAGCGCTGGCAGCAAACTGCTATGTACAGCGCATGCGTGCGATGCTGCACATGCACTGTACATGTACGGTTTGCTGCCGGCACCAGGATCCTCTGCTCATGGCTGCAGCTGCGAAGGGAGAATCCTCCACATGTGGCTGTGGTGGCGCGATGGCTGCTGGCACCGCCGCAAGCCCCCGCAGGGTGCCTTCTTGTGACACACACACCCCCGACATGGCGCCCAGGGCGCACCGCCTGCCCCACCCCACCCCACCCCATTGCAACACCGCTGAGTCCCACCCCCTCCATCTCTGCTGTTATACGTCATCCCTACATTGGCTGATCTGTGTTTTCTGCCTTTGAGCTTTCTGTTCTACTACTCTCAATGCACGCTGGGTCCTGGGAGGGGGGCAGGTCAGGAATGCTGTCTAAAGACACTGCGTCTGTCAGCTGTCTCTCTCCTGGTGCATCTTCTTCCTGCCGCTCTCCCAGTATTTCCCAGCTTCTCCCCTCTGCTGCCTCCCAGGAAAGTTCAGGAAGAGGGGGGTGATGGTCCCCACTATTCCTCCTCAGTCGAGTCCCTAACACTCAGTGAGGGCAGATGAGTTGGTGGGACCATTTGCCTTGATGGGACCACTGCCCTGGAACAGCTTTGTGGGCTGGGGAGAGGTGGCTGGAGGTGAAACTCTCACCCAGCTGGAATCGCACTGAGAAAACCCTCAGACTTTTTTTTAAAAAAAACCCTAAGATGCCATTAAATTACCCACTGCCCATCAGCAGATGACAAATCCATCTTTCCAGCGGCCAAAGCCTTGAATCATCCTAAGACATAGAGCTATATTCAACACTGTTCCCGCTCAGAGTAGACTGATGGGAAGCAATGGATGTGACTAATAATGGATCTACTCTGAGTTGGACCAGCGCTGGAGACACCCATGGACTCAAAGAGCTGGGAAGGATCCCAGAGGACATCTAGATCTGAAATATACTCAAAGTCCTGTAGTGATTTCATGCTCTTTATTGCTTGTAAACAGTGACTGAATTGCCCCCCAAACCTCAGGCTTTTATATACATTATTTACACAACGAGTTCCATCTGATTGGCTGATTCTGCTTCCCTTCTGGCGCCTGATTGGTCTTTTCCTGCAGGCCAATCAGTTGTTGCATTCTACGATCCTACCAGCCTAATAGGCTGATTAACTTCCTCCTGGAGCCTGATTGGTCTTTTCCTGCAAGCCAATCAGTTGTTGCATGCTACAATCCTACTTGCCTATTGTTCTAGGATCCAAGCTTAGTACATTACAAGTTCAAGCTTCTGTAAAGCACAGGGTCTACTGTGCAGGATGCAACTACACCATCCCTGCAAGGTGTCTTGCCTCTGCTTCAATATTTCCAGCAGAGGAGAGCCCACCACCTCCAGTGGCAGTCTGTGCCACAAGGTCATGGACAAATGCCAGGTCCTCTGTGATGCCTTCTACCAGAGCTTCTGGGAAAGTAAGTTCCACGTGTCAAGGGCGGTTGTCAAGAAAGGGCCAAGGAATCAGCTGTCCTACCAGGGATGAAGTTGCCTGGCGTAAGAGCCATCATCTTACTTAAATACCCAGCTGACAGAAATGGCACAAAGAGGAGGAGAGATGGATGTTTCAGGCCACCCTCTGTTTCCTCTACCTGTCTGGAACGCTTGGATTGACAAGGCGGGCTTTGCTAATTAAGCGCTGTGTTGATGGAAAACACATCATCACCCACCCATGTTAAATATTCCGGCATGGACTATTCAGGAGACAAAGCTCTCCTTTTTGAGACTCAGACACCACACGCTCTTGACATCTGTCTCCACCCACCAACCTTGTGCCCTCTAGACATTTTGGACTACAAATCCCATCAGTTCCCAGCTGGGGGGGGGTTCACAGTCCAAAATAGCCGGAGACTCGGATAAGAACTATCACCGGAAACATCTGGAGGGCACCATCTTGCAGAAGGCTGCTTTGGATATAGGAGTGATTGACGGCTTTAGCAGAGGATTGGGCAAATTTGCAGAGGAGAGAGCTATCAATGGCTACTAGCCATGATGGCTGTTCTCTGCCTCCATGTTTAGAGGCAGTGATGCTTCTGAATACCAGCTGCTGAAAAACACAGGAGGGGAAAGGATTCTAGTACCTAGGTCCTGCATGTGGGTTTCTCATGATCATCTGCTTGGCCACTGTGAGAACAGAATGCTGAACTAGATGAGTCACTGGCTTGATCCTGCAGGCCCTGCTAACGCTTCTGTGTTGTGTTTCTACCACCAATCCCATTCTGTTTCCACAATAATTGCTGGTCCATTCTATAGGCAGGCAAAATAAAAACTTGAGAGCCCTGGCAAGGCCCCCCCCCCCCCACTAGAGAGAGGTTGAGGCTCTGGAACAAAAATACCATAGATCAAAGAGAATGTGCTCACAAAGCAAGGAACTAGGACGGATGCACTTTGCATGAGAAATGGGCCTTTTATCCTCTAATGCAAAACAACAAGGGAGTTAGGCGGTCAGAGAAGCAACTGGGTTCAAAGGGGCCTGGCCTGCCCCACTGCCTACGGGGAAGTAAAGGGAAGGGGATGTGCTATGACCAGGACAGAGCAAACTGCCCTGGCTGGTTCCTTTGGGATTGTCAATGAAGGGAAGGCAGGACGGGGCAATCATGATGAATGGGAGAGGAGGCGGAGCTCAGGCAGAGCTCAGTGGGGAAACGGGCTGGTGAAAGTGCTTAATGACAGGGAAAGGCTCCTCTCTGGGGCCCTGGAGAGCTGGCTTGATCCAACAGGCTCTTCTTAGGTTCTTAACCCCGGCATCATAGGGAGTGCCTGCGATGCCAGCTGGGGCTGATGGGAATTGTAGTCCCAAACATATAGAGGGCAGGGAAGAGGGGGCAGGGAGGCTGATAAAGGTAAAGGGGCCCCTGACCATTAGGTCCAGTCGTGGCCGACTCTGGGGTTGTGGCGCTCATCTCGCTTTTCTGGCTGAGGGAGCCGGCGACCAGAGCAGCGCACGGAAACGCTGTTTACCTTCCCGCCGGAGCGGTACCTATTTATCTACTTGCACTTGCTTTCAAACTGCTA